GGGCGATTTCTAGAGGGAGAAATGTCCAATTCAAATTGCATATCGACCTTTTATTTCGCTGAGAAATACGACTGTATCGAGCTTATTGGCAACAGCGAGAAATTCGTCCACGAGAATTTCGCCTCGGTAGGAGAAATGGATGAATTTCTGAGCTTGGAGGCTAAGGAGGTGGCGAGGTGGATTTCAAGTGACGAGATTGCTGTGGAAGCGGAAGCCAGCGTCTTCAAGATCATACTTAAATGGGTTGAACATAACAAGAGCGAGCGAAAAGCAGCATTTGAAGAACTGTTTCGTCACGTTAGACTGAGTTTTCTGTCGCGTGACTGTTTGGAGGGTGTCGTGACAAACGAACTGGTGCGTGAGAATTATGCTTGTGTAAAGCTGGTCATGGATGCTACCGTAAAGATGGCTACTTTTGCGAGTGAAGATGATCTCCCGCAGTCACCAAGAAAAGGTCTGGAAACACGTGTTATTCTAGCATGTGGTGGCTTGTACACATTTTGTTATCTCCCAGAAAAAAACCAGTGGAAACGACTGCCAGACGGGTCAACTGAGAGAAACCAGAAAACGCAAATGCTCACATTTCGTGATCAGCTGTACATGTTCGAGGAATTCAGCCAGGCAGACAAGTATGATCCCGTGTTTAATGGCTGGTCAATGTCGGATCTGATTGACGTATCGGCTGATAGCGCCATGGTGACCGTTGTCAAAGGGGATATGTACGCCATTGAAGTTAACAAACCTGTTGGAAAGTCTACTATGAAGAGATTCAACGTGGAGCTTTGTACCTGGCAAACAGTCGTGGAATCTCCCCAAGGCTGTAGAAAAGAGTCCTGTGTTGTCGGAAGTGGTAGTCATCTGTATCTTTTAGGGGGATCGGCACCTGGCAATTCTGGTTATGTCGCTAAAGCTGAGAGATTCAACATTGCGGAAAACCAATGGGAGGAAATCGCTGACATGCAGCGAGGAAGAGGTGGTGCCTTTGGAGTGGCAACTGAAGAAAAGGTTTTTGTTGCTGGAGGCTTAAATGAAAAGAATAAGGTGTCAAGAAGATGCGAGATGTACAATGTTTCTACAAACGAATGGCACTTCATTGGAAGCTTGAACACATGGCGTGTGTATGGCAGCATGGTGTGTCTAAATGAAACACTATATGTACTGGGAGGCACCAAGAATAATAGAGATAGATTACTCTCAGTTGAATGTTACGACTCTACAGAAGACAAGTGGATTGAGAAAACATTCATACCAGTGGAAAAGTACACATCAGGAAATAAGAACACATTCACCGGCTGTGTAATGAAGCTATCTAAAGGAGTGCTAAAGAAACCCGACTTCAAGGAAGAGGTGGTGACGCCAGCAACCGCACAACTCGCCTTCAATTGCCCATCAGTAACCACTGGCGGCTTCACCTTTGGCACCTCTGACTTCGGCCGCATAGCCGTATCCACCGCTTCGATGGGCCAACGTGTTGTGGCTACTGTTCCTGTATTTGAGTTGTCGGATGATGACTGACTGACTGACTGAGTAAGCTTCTATACAATCCCCTTCAATTTGCTTCAAGGGGACAGTTTAAAATTTTTCTCAAGGTTGTTCAAACTTAAGAACTCTTTACACTCTTTCTTAGTCAGAGGACAAGGGACAAAACAACAAAGCTTCTTACACATGGGTGATGAGATATCCTGTAGCTTCTTGTGCGTGATTTCACTACAGCTATTTTCAACGGTAAAACATAATCTTGCAAGTTTAAATAGCAAGATCAAACTGATCTGGTTTAAAAAATCCATCCTTGTATACGTAGCACACAGATTTAGCAATAACAAGATGCTTTAATAATTGCAAAGGAGCATGCGCAAAGTTATAGTAAGAAAGCTGTCGCAAATTCAATTTTATTTCATACATACTGAGATTTTCACTGTGAAGTAATGTCGTTTGTGTCTCCGATTGAACGACTCGATGTATTTTAACAGTCTTTCGCTTGCAATATTTGCAATGTGTCGGTAAGTAAGAAAAAATCTCAGTATATATTATAGGAAAATTCGTTACTTGACGAGGGAATTCCGCATTAAATTGCACGCGAAAACCGATATCGCACGAATCGCTTCGCGATTCGTGCGATATCGATTTTCAACTGAAATTTAATGCGGAATTCACGAGTGAAGTAATGGATTTTCCTTGAATCGCATAACTGAATAACATTGAGAAAAAACAAGGAAACCGGCAGCAGTACTTAAAACTGTTATGTTTACGTAGATGCGAAACAATATCACTCAGTCTCGTTTTCAACTCGCAATTCCACGCTAAATAACTCGCTTCGTTAACCAATCAGAATGCGAGATTTTATTCATTGATGCGATTCTAAATAACATCATCATCACATGGAGAGTGCTTGAACAATTTTTATTTACTCGTTGTGAGGCATAAAAGAAAAACTTACTCGTTCGTTTTTTTCAAGCATAGCATCGCAACCTGTGAATGAAAATCGTTCGTGTGCACTTTCCATGAATAATCTCCATGAACTGTTGCCCATAGTTATAATTTCCTTCCTTTTTATTCCACATAGCTGTGAAACTACAGATTACAATGAACTATCATACTTTTATGGTTTTGATAGCAATGCCATTTTTGATCTTTGACTCTTGCACTCCCAAGATCTCATTAGTAATTCTCCTTATTGTCTGCCATACAATTTTTATGATGCTAGATCAGAGAATTTGGCAATTGATTAACTTATAATTCTTGATTGATATTTTTCTCTATTCTCGTCACTTGTCTGCTTGACACTATTGATATTGTAAGGAGAAAATCTGTCTTGGTCACTCATGAGAGTGAAAATGGTCAAGTCCTCATTAACTCAATAGACGCCTCCACGTGAAGGAGGATGCGCATATTCGTTTTATAAAGAATAAATACAACAAGCATGACAATTGTTTAAGATAAATTGACAAGCCTTAGTAGTTTGTAGTGTGATTACAGAAAGTAATTAGTGGGTAAGCTGTTCCGCCACAATGAAAAAAAAGTGCGTAACTTCCGAGGGTAGTGCGTCGTGCAGTTGTCGAAACACTCTTAGTATAACCTACATCTCCTTAGGTGGACCCACCTTTCTGATTTGCCTCAATGATTTTAGCGATGATCTTGGTTTGATTTAACAATGTAGTCGCATAGTTGGTAATACAACTTATCACGGCCAAACATAAGGAGATTTGTTCCTTAATCTTCTAAACCCTGGGTGTGATAAGCATCTAATATCTCCCCACAGTATTACCCCTGAGTCACACAGTAATGTTGTGAGAATAAAGAAAATGAACGTGAGGTCGAAAAGCTCTTGACTGTTAAGAAAATTCTCCTTGTAAGTAGCATAGAAAATGTATCTACACATGTATAGTGTAGGCAAAGTTAACCGGCTGCGGGGTTTTAAAGAGTTAAGGATACTTTCGTGAACTGAAGTTAAGTAATAAGGAAACTACATGTATAAACAGTCATGCAATGAACAACAACAACAATAACAACAAAAACAGACCAGAAGTGTGAGGACGATATAGTGATATCGGAGATTGCTCCAGCATGAGGGGTGTCAATACTTTAAGAAGAACTTGACGCAATTTACACCTGGACAAGCACCAATATGGTCACAGTTGAGCAAAGCGGGTGTGTAAGAAAACCCATAACACATTAAAACTAAGTCGAATCCCTGTTTGTAGCTATGCTCGTTCCCGAGTCACGTTAGAGTTAAGGAAAGCTTGCAATGGGCGAGTAGTCAAATCTAGAACTCTTTTTCGGTTTAGAGCCGGTACAATTTTTGGTCGACCTATAGTTCCATCCTTTTACGCAATGCTATTTTGCAAATATGCCGTCAGGATATTCTTTTATTCCTCTTTACCTTAAAATTTTTCTCACAGCTACGAGACCATGATTTGTTACCATAGCTTAAATTTACTCGTCCTCAGGGTTCCTCGGCCTTGGGACTCGGGAAATGAGATATAAAACTGGGAATCAGCTATACTTCCGCTTTCCGAAACATTTTCGCGTGTTCCGAAAGGTGTGCAACATTTGAGCGGGTTCTGTTCGAAGAACTAGGATATTCTGTAAACGTTGGAATATCAACAGCCTATCTCAGCTTCTGAGCAATGATCCTTCTGTATGGAATCGATAAAGCTCCTTAACATTCAGCGAAAACAAGATTACTTGTGCGACATATTAAACTTTGATTACGAACGACGACGAAAAGAACATTTCTGTGAGCCTTGAATTCAAGGCTCACAGAAATATTCTTTCCGCCGCAAGTCTGTTCTTTTGAAAGCTTCTTCAGAGCGATGTGAAGGAGAATCGAGAGGGGATTATTCGGTTTGATGAGATTTCAGGATCTGTTGTGTGGATGTTTTGGAATTCATTTACACTGGAACTGTGGAAGTAACTCAGGAGAAATTATGCTGAGGAGTTGATCGCCGCAGGTAACTATCTGATCATGCCGAGCTTAAAAACTGTTTCAGGGCGATTTCTGGAGGCAGAAATGTCCAACTCCAACTGCATCTCAAAGTTTTACCTCGCCGAGAAATACGACTGTGATGAGCTTGTAAACAACAGTAGAAAATTCGTCCTCGAAAACTTCTGTTTCGTGGCAGCATCGGATGAATTCCTCAACTTGGAAGCCAAAGAAGTAGAGGGATGGCTTTCAAGTGACGAAATTTCTGTCGAAACGGAGACCGATGTTTTTAAGATCGCACTTAAGTGGATTGAACACGGCAAAAGCGAGCGAAAAGCAATGTTCGAACTGTTGTTTCGCCACGTCAGACTGGTTTTGATGTCGCGTGACTCCTTGATAGATGTCCTGACAAATGAACTTGTACAAGATAGCTTTGCTTGTTTGAGGTTGACCTCTGCGGCTTTAAAAATGTCTAGTTTCTCAAGTGAATAAGAAGTCCTCCAAAAGCCGAGAAAAGAAGTCGAACTTTACGGTTTTGTAGCGTGTGGAGGTATTCACAATTTCTGTTATTTTCCCGAAAAGGACCAGTGGAAACGACTGCCAAGTGGAAAGAGGGGAGGCCACGCCCAAATGATAAGATACCGGGATAAATTATTTAGATTTCCTGGACCTGGTAATGTAGAGAGGTATGATCCAGTTTTTAACGCTTGGTCTGAGTTGGAATTGAATTCAAACTCTCTCAAGGTGGCTATAGTTAGAGGAGAAATATATGCAGTTGAGCTTAACACTTCTCAGCAACAGACCGTTGTCAAAATATACAATGTAGAACAGTGTACATGGGAGACACTTATTTCATCCAGTGAAGCCTGTAGAGAGAAAACTTGTGTTGTTTCTGCTGGTGCTCATCTTTATGTTTTTGGTGGAAAGCCGCCAAATACCATAGTATATGTCGCAAAAGCCGATCGAGAGATTTGACACTGTGGGAAAAAAATGGGTGGAAATTGCAGACATGGAGGAAGAAAGAGGTGACGCTTTTGGTGTGGCCACCAAAGACAAAATTTTTGTTGCAGGAGGAGAGCATAGAGACAGAGACTCAGTGTTGCAAACTTGCGAGATATACAGTATTTCAACAAATGAATGGCAACTCACTGGCAGCTTGACTGTTTCTCGCATGCATGGTAGCATGGTGAGTCTGGATGGGAAACTTTATGTGTTAGGTGGAGAAAGAGAGGGAAACTGACGGGAATTGAAAGTTGAGTGGTATGATCCTGAAGAGGGCAATTGGATCCATAAAACAACTATACCTACAAAAGTCAATTTTGTTATTAATGGCTGCGTACTTAAACTCTCCAAAGGAGTAGTGGAAAAACTGCAGGTGGAAAAAAGCAGGACTTGTTTGTACTTTTGAATCAATATTGTCTTCTAAAGGGAGATGGTTTGAAGAGGTCCTATGAATTAGGAGGAAACCAATATCTGCTTAGGATAACTTACTTAATTGTAGTCTTATAGGCAGCTGTTATTTGGAATGTAACACAATGGGGGAAGCATTGCATGACAATCCAAAGTGTGGTTTTGAAGGAGACCAACTTAACCTCTGCCTCAAAAAAATGCAGCTGACAGGATGCAACACTATGGTAAAGATCAATACTCAGTCTGCTCTTATTCATATTGTTTTAAATGAAGTGTCTTCTCTTCTCCAAGATTGTAAGTCATGAATGTATGCTGATGATACTGTTATTTTTTTTTTGACTCAGTCAGAGATGGTGCTGAAATCAGCAAAAACTTATCAGGACCTTAATTTAGTTTATGACTGGATATTTGGGTAGATGGAATTTCAAGTGCAATGTGACTGTAGTAATTGACTGAATATAACTATAATCCTTACGAAAGAAACAATATTTTTAGTTTGAAAAAAAATAATCTTTGGCATCCTTATATGTATGCCATCTTCAGTTGCATAATTTGAATTTTCTCTTGACAAACATGTCATGAACTTACAACAAAAGTTTTGCAGCACAAAATGCTATATATTGTATAATATAACAATAATTATCCTTATTACATGACTCGGGCATTCAGAGGGCCAATAACTAAAATCAACCAATCAAAATGCTCTATTGTCGGTCAATATTCTCTCAGTATTGGACGGGGCACTGTCCCGAATGGTCCCGAATGATACCGCACTTGTGTCCCTTTGAACTTCAGTCGTATAATAAATCTCTTATTAACCAAGCTTGCTCGGGACCGTACTGGAAAAATATCGGCCCTCGGTCTTTTTTGTACGGACCGAGCGCAGCGAGGTCCGTACTGTCAAGACCTCGGGCCAATATTCTCCCAGTACGGCCCTCGCGCTTGGTCAATAAGATATGTTTATTTGAAATTTTATATTATTATTTGAAATGCAAAGGAAGCACAGAGGAGCAGTAGAAGTAATAAAAAGGGAATTGGGAACAACAAAACAAAAACCACTAACAGTGATTATGATAAAAAATAGGGTAATTAAGAAATCAGTAAATCTAGGTGGTTTGACTGTTGGATTGGTGTAAGAATCTTGCTATCAATAAGCATGCATGGCTTCCTTTATTTTTATTTGAAAAATTGAGGTGGCAGATTCATCATCTAATCATAATTATAAACCCTTTACACCCTAACATCAGTTTGCATATTCTCCATACTGTTCTCTATACACTTTCTTAAGTGCTGACAAGGAGAATTTGGTAAACAAGCAAGAGCTTATGATCTATAGTTAGTGATCATTCCCTTTATTTTTATGACTTTAAATTTTAGTCTTTGATTCAGGGTGATCTTGTAAGGAGAAATTAGATGTTAGTGACTCTAAGGGATCTAGGCTTAACTTTGAAAAATTACTGGTGATGCATGTAAGAAAATAGTCATTTATTTAAAGAAATTAAACATAAAATTTGTCCCAACCACAAAACAGAGAAGAGTCAATTTTGAGGGCTTGCATTCCACCCAGTTATAATTTCACCATCAGATTATACTCCAATAATTGAGCCACATAAAAGTTGTTGGTGACCCAGTCCACTTACTATGGTTATAAGTGACAACAAAATGTCTTGTTTATACTGCTTGAATTACAAGATATTAATATGAACAATAAAGGCTCTCTCCCCAAACACCCCTTTAAAAAGGCAGTACTGTATAAAATGGAAGCTTTTAGAGGCTTTCAAATAGAAGTACATGTATATTTCTTACTGAAACACTACCAGTCCAAATAAATAGCTACCCCATGGTATAACCAATCCTACTGCATATTTAGGCTGTAATGTTCTGCCATGTGTCTTCACTTTAGAAATTTTGCTCAGGGTGGGGGGTGTGAATCAACTAGGAATTTGTTAGGGGATTGAGCCATTTACTGGGTTCATTGTGACAAGCTTTCTGTATAATACTGGGATCAGCAATGCCTTAACTGTATTATTATTTTCGATGATGTTTCCATTTCAAACTTAATTCAAGCAGGCTTGTTTATTTAAAAAGTAGGTCTCAGATAGATTCTCATCTTGGATCAAATGCACTTCCTCTCTTTTTTTAATTTTTAGCAGGCAAAACCTAAAATTTTGTAAAAAAGAAAACTCTAAAAGATTGTGCTTGAGTGAAACTAGTCTGAAGAGAATTTTTTTGCAATTATTTTCTAATAGCATTTTTAAATGACAAAATTACTAGATTAAGTGTTCAATTCATCTTTCAGATATGAAGAGATTAGTGATACCTGCTCTAAATTTTGAAAGAAAACTGGTGACCAATAAGATGAAACCAAAAACAAAAAAATGGCACACAAAAATGAAACAAACAAACATTATAAACAAACATTAACAAACAAACAAGCAAACAAACCCCAGAGAGCCATGCATAAACTTATCGAGGAGTAAATATCACTGAAAGAAAACTGAAACTATGCTGAGCATTCTTATCTGAATATTACAAATCTGTGGTAAACTCTCCACTTCTCTTCCCTTCCTAGATAGAGAGTTCAGATGGGGAAGTTCAGTCATTGTTCTTTGTGCTACCTAACCTTATCTAGCTTTGTCAAAGGAGATCTCCTGCTCTTACAAATTGTTTCTTTAGTGCAGTTTTCCTTCTAGAGTACAGTTTGAGCACGGCTAACTGCTGCCTGGTCAGCTCATGCTATAGAGCACCCACTACCGTGCCATAACCGGTACTTGTGCTGTTTTTTAATGATCTGTCTTCTGCTCTCCAAGATTGTAACTTAATTAAGATCTATCAGTATGCAAATGACCCGGTTATTTTTTTCTTTGGCTCTGAGCCACAGGTGGTAATGAAATCAACAAAGACATACCAAGAACCTTCAGCTTAATAGTAAAGCATACCGATGGAATTTCAAGTATGACATGACTGTAATAATTGACAGGATGTTTAGTACAATACAAATTTTAATTGTCATTCATTTTACAGAAGTGATTAAAATGTAACTTCTCCCTGTAAAATTCATGCATTATCCAGCAAACAGGTAATGAGAATACTCAAACTTATCAAGTAGAATTTATTACCTTGATTGAACACCAAATTCTTGTTACCAATTTACAAAGAAATGTGTGGCAGCTAGAGGGGAGAATTAACAACCAGATCTTGGGAGTTAAAGGGTTAACCACCTGGAACAATTTACAAGCATACAAAGTAAACATAGGACCTAGGTGGAACTCCTTGCTCTATCTGGAATTCTGTGTGGAGTGATGACACTTTTTACTTAGCCAGAGATGGTGTTGAAATCAGCCAAATTTAATAAGAACCTTAAATTAGTTTATGAATGGAGATTTGGTACATAGAATTTCAAGTGTCACTTAACTGAAACAATTGACTGGGTTTAATCATATGTCCTTTAGTTTGAAAAAAAAAAAAAGTTTCACATTCCTATATGTATATACGTCGACATCTTTAGTTGCATGTACTGTAATATTTGTAGTCCAATTTAAATCTTCTCTTTGAAAATATGTTATGAAGTCATGACATAATTTTTTGCTCCACAAAATGCTATATATCAAATGATGTTACTATTATTAAATGATTATTATTATATGAAATTCAATAGAAACACTGAGTGACAGTACAAGTAATAAAAAGAGACTTAGGAATGACAAAACAGAAACCATAAACATTAATAATAATAAAAAATAATTAAAAAGAAATGAGATAATCAAGGTATTTATAGTGCCAGATTCTCACATTCAACCTACAAGGCTTCTTTTATCTTTATTTTAAAAATTTAGGTGGCAGAGTCTCAGTTATAATCATAATTATAAACCCTTTACACCCTAATGTCAGTATGCATATTCTCCATAATGTTCTATATACATTTTCTAAGATGCTGATAAGGAGAAATTGTTTAACAATCAAGAGCTCATAATCTTTATTTGATGGTCATTTTCTTTATTCTCACGACTGGTGATTGATTCAGGTGTGATCTTGTAAGGAGAAATTAGATGTCACTCTTAGCAATCTATATAAGGGTTAACTTTGAAAAATTACAAGTGATACATGTAAGAAAATAGTCATTTTGTCCCTAGTACAAAACAGAGAAGAGTCAATTTTGAGGGCTTCAGTCTCACCCAGTTATAATTTCACAGTCAGATTATACTCTATCAATTGAGCCACATAAAAGTTGTTGGTGACCCAGCTAGTCCACTTATTATGGTTATATGTGAAAAGAAAATGTCCTGTTTACTGCTTGAACTACAAGGCCAAATGTTGTTCTCTTAACATGGTATAACTTTCTGCAGAGGAAATCCATATTTCTTTGCTGACTCAGGTTGGTGGGAAAGTTCAGCCATTGTTCTACCTTACCTTATCTAGCTTTGATCAAGGGGATTCTAAGGCTGTTACAAATCGTTTCTTCAGTGCGTTTTCTTGAGATTATTCTTTCATTTGAGTGCAGTTTGAGTACAGTTAATAATCTTCTTCAATTACATCATCAAGGTAATCCAATACTCCTCTGGAGAACTTTAGCACACAGCCTTTAAATGCATATTTTTTCCTCCAGTCCTCTTCCACTGGTATGGTTGTCTTCACAATCCACTTGCCCTGTTTGGACTGATAACATTCAACTGAATGTTCTGCCTTTTTCTTAGTTTGGTCAAGGCCACCCAGTACATATAATATTTCACCAAGACAAACCATACTACCATGTGTGCGGTAAACATTCAAGTTTGCAAATAACTGCCATTCATTTGTGGCAACATTGTATACCTCACATGTTTTCAACACTGTGTTTTCTTCATCTGCTCCTCCAGGTACAAAAATATTTCCCTGAGTGGCCATGCCAAAAGCCCCACCTCTTGCTTGTTGCATTTCTGTGATTTCTTCCCACTTCTTTTTTGTAATGTCAAATCTGTCAGCTTTTGCAACATATTGGGATGTGTGTGAGGACCTCCCAACCAAAAGATACAAAAAGTTACTATATCCAATGAGACAAGACTCTTTCCTGTAGCACTGAGGAGAGGAGTGAAGCTTCTGCCATGGACATGACTCTACCAGGAATTTTTGAATGGTTGTTGTTTTTGTTGTGCCTTCAACCCCCTTAGGTCTTTTGAAAGTTTCGTCTATAGAAAATAACTCTCCTCCAATGACAGTCACTTTATCCTGCCATATGTCAAAAGGAACTGATGACCAACCATTAAAGACAGGATCATACCTCTCTGATCAACCCAAGCTACGAAACATGAACAACTGATCACGAAATCTTATCATGTGGGTTGAAAGAATGTCAAGCTGCTCTTTTGACAACCTGTTGGGTAATCCTTTCCACTCATTTTCCTGAGGGACATAACAAAGGGCATATTCTTCTCCACAAGGCACTATAGCACGTGTGTCAAGCCCTTTTCTGGGGGACTGGGAATGATCATCATCGCTTGAAAATGTAGTCTGTTTTATAGCATCTAAAACCAGCTTGAGACAACCAGGGTTGTCACGCACGAGTTCGTTTGTCACGACATTCAACAAATAGTCACGCGATACGAAAACCAGACAAACGTGACAAAGAAGCTCTTTAAACGCTGCTCTCCGCTCAGTCTTGTTATGTTCAACCCACTTTTGCGCAATCTGGAAAACATTGGCTTCCGTTTTAACCACAATCTCATCACTTGAAATCCATCTCTCCACCTCTTTAGCTTCCAAACCTAGGCATAATCCTTGTCTGCCACAGATGCGAAGTTTGCGTGAATGAAAGTCTTGCTTTCGCGTACAAGCTCTTCCCAGTCGTATTTCTCGGCGAAGTGAAAGGTTGAGACGCATTTGTCGTTTTAGGTATCGGCATGAGATTGCTTTCAAATTAGGGACAATGAGATAATTCGTTCCGGCGTCACTAACTCTTCGGCATTTTCTTCAGTTACTTCCACAGTTCCAGTGTAGATGAATTCCAAGACATCTTCCATAACAGATCCCGAAATCTCCTCAAGTCGAACGATCCCTTCACAATTTTTCTTCTGTCGCTCTGAAGAAGCTTGCAAAAGAACGGACTGGCTGCAGAAAGAACATTTCTGTGAGCCTTAATTAACTCTTGGTCATCTTTCGTAATCAAAGTTATGTCGCATAAGTGGCCTTGTTTTCGTTGTATGTTGAGCCGTTTCATCATTTCCACGCAGAAAGGATTCTATTGAGTGACAGCGATGGGTGGGAGATCTTCCATTGTCACAGGATTAGCCTTGCTTTCGGAGTTGTAAGCAGAGATGGCTATGATTAATGATGTTGGGACACCAACGCGGAAATGAAACATTTTGTGGTATCCAGGCTTTCTCCCCAGCCCCTGCCAGCATCCTTGTGACATGCAATAATGTGCAAAGTGTAATCTTAACAGAGCAAGATTTACATAGCTAAATAGTGTTGAATAAAACATTATGTTCACGTTCGAATTAAGGTGTTTACTAGAAAGGAAACCACACGCCTTCCCTCGCATATTTAATCACGTAAAAACTACCCACCAATATGTATATAAGCACTTTGATTTGCAATAAAAGTAAATGTAATCAGGACTAGAGTGTGTGCGATTCTCTCTTCGTTGAGGACCCAAAAACCGGCCCAGTCTATTAGTGTTTAGATTCCCCCATCCAATATGCAAGGCTTCTTTTATCGTTATTTACAAAAATTTAGGTGGGAGAGTCATCAGCTAATCATGATTATAAATCCTTGACACCCTAACATCATTATGCATATTCTCCATACTGTTCTCTACACATTTTCTAAGGATGTGACAAGGAGAATTTGTTTAACAATCAAAAGCTTATAATCTTTAGTCGGTGATCATTTCCTTTATTCTCATGACCTTAGTGATTGATTCAGGGGTGATAATGTAAGGAGATATTAGATGCCACTCCCTTTTTCAGGGATGAGAGAGTTAACCTTGAGAAATTACTTGTAATGCATGTAAAGAAAATAGTCATTTACTGAAAGAGTGACATCAAACATTTGTCCCAAGCAAAGAACAGAGAAAAATCAATTGTGGTAGCTTCAGTCAGTGGAGGTGCGGTGGCCTCATGGTTGGTGCACTCGACTCTGGATCAAGTGGTTCGGGTTCGAGCCCTGGCCGGGGACATTGTGTTGTGTTCTTAAGCAAGACACTTTACTCTCACAGTGCCTCTCTTCACCCTGGTGTTTAAATGAGTACCGTAAAATTTAATGCTGGTGGGTAACCCTGCAATGGGCTAGCATCCCATCCAGGGGGGAGTAGAAATACTCCTAGTCGCTTCATGCTATAGAAACCGGAGTTAAGCATGGATGGGCCACTGGCTCGTAAACAGACTTTACCAGTCTCAACCAGTTATAATTTCACAGTTAGATTACACACGATCAAAGGAGCTACATAAAAGTTGTTGGTGAACCAGACTAGATACTAAGTACTCTATATAACAAGAAAAATTTCCTGTTCCCCAGCCGGATTACTAAAAAATATGTACAGTAAAGTTAGCTCTCTCCACAAACACTCCTCAAAAAAATGTAATATATAAAACAAAAGCTTTTATAGGTATTCAAATACAAGTGCATGAATGTTTTAAAATGAGATGTTACCAGCGTCTAATTAAATAATTTGAATACATCAACAAAGTTGAAATGGTAAATTGGCCACTGTTACGGTTATAAAAGCTGACGCTTTGAGCGTTAGCCTTTCGTCGGAGCGAATAGAGGAATAGTGGCTTGTGTGTGCTTTTAAAGGCAGAAAATGGAGATATGTGATTAGTGGGAACATAGCAACGAGAAAAACATCAATAAATTAGTGGAATGAGAAGCTAACGCTCGAAATGTCAGCTTTTATAACTGTAACGGTGGCCAATTTACCATTTCAACTTTGTTGATATATTCAAATTATTTCATTACCCCCACCGACACAGCCCCAAACAGTTTCTTTAGAAACTATCAGCCTTTATTCATTTGTCTAATTAAATAGCTACCCCATGGAATAACCAATCCCATAGCATATTTGAGCCTTATCATTATGCCATGTGTCTTTACTTCTGAAATTTTGGAAGCTAATGTCTTTGAAGGGGTTGAATTGACTGAGAATTTGTTAGAGGATTGGGCCACTCATTAGGTTCAAGTGTGACAGGCATCTTGCTAGAATCAACAATGCCTATAAAGTGTATTTTTTTTTATTGATGTTTCCATGACAAGCTTAATACTAGTAGGCTTGTTTTAGTGAAAAGCAGGTCTGATGAGGTTCTCATCTTGGATCAAATGCACTGTCACTTTTTTGATTGCACAAAGCCTAACATTTGTAAAAAGAAAACTCTTGAAAACTGTGCTTAAGTGAAACTTGTGTATGTAGAACACTATTTCTATTATTTACAATGAGCACTTTTTAAACTAAAAAGTTCAATTCCTCTTTCAAATTGAATTTTTAGAAGTTCTCAGATGTTTCAAGATTGGTGATGCCAGTACAAAAATATCAAAGACACTGGGTGCTTAAAAAACAAACAAACAAACAAACAAACAAAAACATACAGGTAAAACAAAACTGAAATATATATAGTTTAAAACACAAAAATAAGCATAAACTTATCAAGGATTCAGTTTCTCAGTCCATGACAAAGCAGGCCAAATGTTGATCTCTTAGCATGGCATAACTTTCTGCAGAGGAAATTCCATGTTTCTTTCCTGACTTAGGTTGATGGAAAAGTTCAGTCATTGTTCCACCTAACCTTATCTAGCTTTGATCAAGGGGACTGTATTGCCATTACAAATTGTTTCTTCAGTGTATTTTTTTCAGATTATTTTCTTTCATTGGAGTACAGTTTTAGTTTAGTTTACCATCTTCTTCATCTTCTTCATCTTCTTCAATTGCATCATCAAGATAATCCAATACTCCTTGGGAGAACTTTAACACACAGCCTTTAAATGCATGTTTCTTCTTACAGTCCTCTTCCACTGGTATGGTTGTCTTCACAATCCACTTGCACTGTGTGGAGTCATAACATTCAACTGAATGTTCAGGCTTTTTCTTAGTTTGGTCAAAGCCACCCTGCACATACAACCTTCCACCAAGACAAACCATGCTACCATGTGTGCGGCAAACATTCAAGTTTGCAATTAACTGCCATTCATTTGTGGAAACATTGTATACCTCGCATGTTTTCAACACAATGCTTTCTTCATTTGCTCCTCCAGCAACAAAAATCTTTTCTTGAGTGGCCACACCAAAAGCTCCCCCTCTTGCTTGTTGCATTTCTGTAATTTCTTCCCATTTCTTTTCCATAATATCAAATCTGTCAGCTTTTGCAACATATTGGGATCTATGTCGGGACCTCCCACCCAAAAGATACAAAAAGTTACCAGATCCAATGACACAAGATTTTTTCCTGTAGCACTGAGGAGAGGAGTGAAACTCTTGCCACGAACATGACTCTACATGGAATTTTTCAATGGTTGTTGTGGTGTTTTTTTTTCTGACAGTTTCATCTATAGAAAATAACTCTCCTCCAATGACAGTCACTTTGTCCTGAACTTTGAAGGAGAATATGCCGAAAGAGAATGATGACCAACCATTAAAGACAGGATCATACCTCTCTGCTTGACCCAAGCTATGAAACATGAACAACTGATCACGAAATCTTATCATGTTGGCTGAAAGGATGTTGAGCCGCTTTTTTGCCAACCTGTTGGGTAATCCTTTCCACTCATCTTTCTGAGGGACATAACAAAAGGCATATTCTTCTCCACAAGCCACTATAGCACGTGTGTCAAGCCCTTTTCTAGGGGACTGGGAAAGATTATCATCGCTTGAAAACGTGGTCTGCTTTATAGTATCTGAAACCAACCTGAGGCAGCCAGCGTTGTCACGCACGAGTTCGTTTGTCACGACATTCAACAAATAGTCACGCGATACGAAATCCAGTCGAACGTGACGAAGCAGCTCTTCAAATCCTGCTTTCCGCTCGCTCTTGTCATGTTCAACCCACTTTTGTAAAATCTGGAAAACATCGGCTTCCGTTTCAACAACAATCTCATCACTTGAAATCCATCTCTCCACCTCTTTTGCTTCCAAACTTAGGAATTCATCCATGACTGCCACAGACGCGAAGTTCTCGTGAATGAAACTCTTGCTGTCGCTTACAAGCTCTTCACAGTCGTATTTCTCGGCGAAGTAAAAGGTTGAAATGCAGTTTGTTGCACACATTT